CAGGATCGTCGCACGACCTTGGGATGGGGTGGTGCAGTCGGAGGCACCTTAAGGCCGGGAGAGGAGGAGAGGAAGGGGAGGTGAGGGGAGGGGGAAGGGAGAGGGAAGGATGAGGCTTGGAGGAGGACAGGAGGACAGAGGAGAGGGGGTGGGGGAGAGGGCAGGCGGAAGAGAATGGTAAGACCGTGTGTGACCTACCCTTAACCACTGAGCTCCGGGCACGCAGTTCGCCCAGATCCAATTATAAAGTTCTGGGCACGATCTCTGGATTCATTCTACTCTAATAGCAACCAATTTAGATAACTGCCTCGCCAGGATACATTCACTGACTGCGTCGTCGCCATTCACAGATGAACAACGTACAGTGACAGGGATACCAATGGAACGACCACTGCCCTTTTCTCTCAGAATCTTTAGACGGCAATGCACATTCCTCACCGAAAAGTAAAAGCACAAGCAGGCCGAAAACTTTCACTGTGTCAGGCTGGGCGCAAAGTACAGCTTTGTGATCAAGCATGATCAGCAACGGTGAGTTCCATTGTGTATCTTTTAAATCTTTAACCTACCCCTCTTTGCGCAGAGAGCACAACCAACTCCTGGCACAGTCCACTCGATAACTCTCTTTTCCTCCCTCCTGTGAGAAGAGAGGAGAGAGAGGAGAGAGAGGAGAGAGAGGAGAGAGAGGAGAGAGAGGGAGGGAGGGAGGGAGGGAGGGAGGGAGGGAGAGAGAGAGAGAGAGAGAGAGAGAGAGAGAGAGAGAGAGAGAGAGAGAGAGAGAGAGAGAGAGAGAGAGAGAGAGAGAGAGAGAGAGAGAGAGGGGGGGGGGGAGTGGGATTGAGAGAAAGAAGCAAGAGGGAAAGGGGGAGTGCAAATGCACCATCAAAGGCTCACAAGAGGGGCGACGGAGAGATCAAGCTGCTAGCTGGAGAGCAGTCGGACGGCGCTTTCCCTTTAGAATCTTCACTTCAAGAGCGAAGAAGAGCAGCGATCGAGCGAGCGATGAGAGAAGGAAAGTGCAACAGTGTACATGGGACAAACTGTAGTTCAGGAACTCGGGGCGAAATCGATGGCTTACACAAATTACCCGTGTTTTCTTGTCCCCTTCGTCGCTGTCACCCTCTCTTCTTTTATTATCAAATAAATTCGGCTGACAGCCATTACTGCACCAGGGATAACATCCGAACCTCATGAACTGGAAAGAGCGGTAGCTGTCATTAACGAGAACTGAAATCCTAATCGTTGGGGCAAAAAGTAAGAGAAGAATAAGAGGGAAAGAAAGGAGCAGGGCGGCCGCATGATAAAGCAAACGATACGGGAGGTAAAGGCAGAGAAAATGGCAACATATGTTTTTTTCAATAAGAAATGAGAAGAGATGAGTGAAGGTGAGGGGAGGCCAGTGTAATGGATCCCGTAGGACTGGAGAGGCCCTAGAGCCGCAACACTCGTTTTAGGCCTATAGCAGCAGCGGCAACGCGAACAGCCCTCCTCCTTAATCCGATTCCGAGAGCGCGCGCGCATCACGTGCCACGCCCCTCGGCCACAGCTCCGTGGAACGTCATCGTCGTGGTGGTCCCGGTTTTCCTAAAAGACGGCCCTGCAAGATGATCTTGCGTCTGTAAGTATTCGCCCACCCTACGAACCCAACTCGCTCAAAACTGGATTTCCGAATTCAGATATTTGAATTCAACAATGAGATGGTCTCACCCCATCACAAAGGAAGAACATCATTTTTACGCATGTTAGATGGGGCGTTTTTATTTGATTGCAAATTTGTAACGAAGTCAATTTAAAGCAAAGAGAAAGAAAAGCAAATTCTCATGAGTTCCTGCTCAAGCAAAGCGTTTGCTAGACGCTCGAAGACTACCGACGACCCGTTAAAAACAAAGAAACATATTTCGGACGGCCTTCAAGAAATCCAGTCACGTCAATTCGCCAAGCCGCAATTTCAGGACGCAAAGATCCGTAACATATTTCGCAACGAAGGGAGGGAATGGGTGAAGGGGAAGGTGGGGGTGGGGGGAAGGGGGGAATTGCGGGAGGGGGGAAAGCAGAGAGGTAGGGAGAGGAGAGGAGAGGAGAGGAGAGGAGAGGAGAGGAGAGGAGAGGAGAGGAGAGGAGACGAGAGGAGAGGGAGAGGCCGTCCGATATATATTTCTTTGGATATTAGAGCGGATAAAGAGGAAGGGTGAGACAACGAGAGAGAGAGAGAGAGAGAGAGAGAGAGAGAGAGAGAGAGAGAGAGAGAGAGAGAGAGAGAGAGAGGAGAGAGAGGAGGGAGGGAGGGAGGGAGAGAGAGGAGGGAGGGAGGGAGAGAAAGAGAGAAAGAAAGAGGGGGAGAAAGAGAGAAAGACAGAAAGAAAGAAAGAGAGAGAGAGAGGGGGAGGGGGAAGGGGATGGAGAGGGAGAGGGGAGGGAGAGGGGAGGGAGAGGGAAACAGAGAGACAGAGACAGAGACCAAAAAGGTCTGCAAGAAATGAAGGATCACGGAATATTTAGCTTTTCCATTAACCGACTTTACTTTCATTTGT